CCACCTTTAAAGCGCTCCATGGCATTGGACCTGGTTACCTCCGAGACCGCCTTCTGCCACAGATTCCCTCCCACAGACCGGTACGCTCCCACAGAGTGGGCCTCCTCAGGGTGCCGTCGGCCAAGCAATGTAGGCTGGCGACCCCCAGGGGGAGGGCCTTCTCTGTGGGTGCCCCCACCCTCTGGAACGAACTCCCCCCTGAGATCCGGATGATTCCGGATCTCCTTACTTTCCGCCGCGCCCTCAAGACATGGCTTTTCCAGCAAGCGGGCCTGACCTAGGGAGGATTTTAGGTAGGGATTTTAGGTAGGGACGTTTTTAAAAAGTAATTTTAATGGGAACACAGCAATCAATATTTGGCTTTTAATTAGGTTTTAGTGGGGTTATTTTGTGCATTTTTGTATGATTTTCTTTGTATCCTGTATATTGTATTTGTGTTTTTAATATGCTGTGAACCGCCCTGAGTCCTACGGGAGAAGGGCGGTATACAAATTAAATTAACCTTAACCTTAACCTTAACCTTTGGGGCAGCCCCTGAGATATCGGAAGGCTGCTATCATGTCCCCCCTCGTCCTTCTCTTCGTTAAACTAGACATACCCAATTCCAGCAACCGTTCCTTATATGTTTTAGCCTCCAGTCCCCTAATCATCTTTGTTGCTCTTCTCTGTACTCTTTCTAGAGTATCAACATCTTTTTTACATCGTGTTAAAAAAAAAGATTTGTGTGTGTGTGTGTGTGTGTGTGTGTTGGGATCAACAAAAAAAAAGTGTCAAGAAAGGGGGGGGAAAGCATGCTTCTGAAAACTCCTTGCAAATGGCCAAGAGTACTGTTTTAGAAAAGAGTTGACAACAGTAGAATTTGCATTTTGGAAGGCTGCATCAGAGAATGTATATGTCAAGACATGAAATCAGAATGATTAAGATATTTTAAAAAATGGTTGCAGGTTTTTTCCCCTCCGTTCTTTAATATCTACCTGTATTTTCCCAAGAATAATTCTAAATTAATGGGATGACAGTCCCTTAGGTGCAGATCAATGGAATTTTGGAGTATGGAGTTTCTGTAGATTATACGTCTTGCGAACTTAAGCAGTTGCAAAAGGTCCTAAACTATAATACCATCTGAAAGGGGACAAGATGTAAAATGAGCCACCTTTCTCAGTGTTTCTCAACCTTGGCAACTTTACAATGTGTGGACTTCAACTCCCAGAATTCTCCAGCTAGTGTTGCTAGCTGGAGAATTTTGGGAGTTGAAGTCCACACATTGTAAAGTTGCCAAGGTTGAGAAACACTGTAAAGGGTCTAAACCCAATCTTAATTAGAGTGGGACAAAAATAAATGAATGGAGTCTTTAAATCTTATATGGATAAATTACCAGTAGATCATCACGAAAGTGAAGAAATGCTATCTTCACTTTCTGAATGGTCTACTGGTAAACTTCCCTGAGGAGTCTTCAACAAGGCGTGGCCATTGTATTTTAATTTTATTCACGTCAGAGATTTGATGTGAGTTCAGAATTTGCATCAATATTAGATGCAAATATTCCACTATGCCAGGGGTAGGCAACTTTGGCTCTTTTAAGACTTGTGGACTTCAACTCCCAGAATTCCTGAGCCATCCATGCTGAGGGGAAAGGGAGAAGTTTCCAAGCTGAGCCATGCTGGCTCTCAGGAATTCTGGGAGTTGAAGTCCACGAGTCATAAACGAGCCAAGGTTGCCTACCCCTGGACTAGACCATGGACATGACATAAACATGGTGTAGTAATTAAGGATTGGACCAAGAGTAGGGAGAACTTGGTTCACTTCAACAATCACCCATTGAAGTTCATTGGGTGCTTCCTCATGGCAATATAACTGAAATGGAGGAAAAAATGCTAGGGAATTCTGGGAGCCGAAGTCATTCATCTTCAAGGAACCAAGGTTGAAAAACACTGCTCTACATTAATATGTATTTTCAGATTCTGGGACAGTGTTTGGCCTTGACTGGGCAATCAGGCTCCACTATGTTTGCAAAGGTCTTACAGCGGTGCTTAACAAATTTCTAAACCCTTCTGAATTTTCAATATTGCCACACAGATATCACCTACAACGTCATCAGTATTCTGCACAAGTCTTAAAACTAGATAAAGAAACTCGATTAAACATAGGCGTCAAAAACATTATTTTTCCTTCCATTCAATTATGTCCAAATCTCAAATCCCGGAAATTTTCTTATCAATGAAAATCTTATAGTTGTTCATTTATTTATTGTAGAAAATGATACTTAGCTTGTCTGGGAAAAGGTCAATGTGGAAGAGAGACATATTTATATTTATATAAATTTAATACAATCTAAATATTTTAAACGTTAAGTATTACTCTTGGATTTTGTTTTAAGGTGGAGACACTACAATGAAGAAGGACATACATTCAATTTTGTAGCTACTAAGATTGTTGGTTGAGCAGGCACAAAAACAGCCAGGGAAGTGATTGAAGCCTGGGAAACAGGTCAATTAAGAGGAGTGCTTATTTACCACTAGCTTATCAAGTACTTAGGAGCCGAGGGCTTGACAGTACAAGGAAAGGACAGGCAGCAACTTAATAGCCAGCCATCAACACCCCAATCAACATCTAAAAAGCCACATACAACAGGCACCATATAAATAACACAGAGAGAATAACCCAAAGTACACACACTGCTAGAGAGAAGTTGGATCCTGCAACATTATCTGGGACATGTAGATTCGCCTTCATTCATGACTATTCCTTCTCAACTGAAGTCTGGTAATGATCAGGCTGACCTGTTCGTTTCATTTCATCTCTTAGTATACAAACAGATATATCTGAAATCAACCAGCCAATCAACCTGTCAACCAGCATTTCTCTCTTGGACCCATCAAATTTCAGGCTGGAGTCTACAAATGTTCTCTTTCTATCATGCATCTAGTTGCACTTTTTCTGGGAATTATTTATGTTTATGATTAGCATCATCCTATCTCTGTGTGCATTTGTGTATGTGTGCCTGAAACGAGCTGCATATTCACTGCAAAAGTTCTTCGCAGCTCCCTGAAAAATGAGCAGATTGAAGAAAGATTGGTTTGCATTTATAGTCTCTGCAGTCTCTCTGATTAATCCTGTTGAACATTTACAGTATCACAGGATGTCTCCTTTGAATGTCAAGATTAAGAACATAATCCTCTAAAATTTGGCTAGCCGGCAAACTTGTGACATTTGCATTTAACTCTTCCAATGTTCATTCTTTTCCTTATACTTCACACCCTTCCCTGTACCTCTTTTCTCAAGAATGAGGCAGGCCTTTTCGACTCGCCCAGATATGAAAATCTGCTTCTCACAAACATTCCCAAGGAGACACAACCTCACATATTCTTTAAAATGTGTTCCTACCAAGGCCATTTTATAATGTCTAGGTAAGACCACACTTGGAATACTGCATCCAGTTTTGGTCACCACAATATAAAAAAGATGTTGGGACTCTAGAAAGAGTGCAGAGAAGAACACCAAAGATGATCAAGGGACTGGAGGCTAAAACATACAAGGAACAGTTGCTGGAATTGGGTATGTCTCGTTTAATGAAGAGAAGGACGTGGGGTGACATGATAGCAGTCTTCCAATATCTCAAGAGGTTGCCACAAAGAAGAGGGAGTCAAGCTATTCTCCAAAGCACCTGAGGGCAGGACAAGAAGCAATGGATGGAAACTAAGGAGAGAAGCAACCTAGAACTAAGGAGGAATTTCCTGACGATGAGAACAATTAATCAGTGGAACAACTTGCCTCCAAAAGTTGTGAATGCTCCAACACTGGAAGTTGTTAAGAAGAGTCTGGACAACCATTTGTCTAAAATGGCAGGGGGGGTCAGACTAGGTGACCTGCAAGGTCCCTTCCAACTCTATTATACTGTTAAACGTGGAAGAGAAAATATCCCAGAGCATGAGACAAGACATTGCTCACTTTTTAAAAGCCAACTTGGAAGGGATGTCTAACTGAATTGAATTAAAAGATTTCTTTTAAAAAAAGAAGATAAAATAAGATAAAATAAGCTGTGCTTTTCTGCACTCATATATCCTGTTAAAACATGTAAATTTTAATTATCAAATGTGTTTCTGGTGAGGTGAGATTATTTTGGTGTCCTGGCCTGACTATTTAGTAAGTCATCAAAGGATCTTGGTAGGTCATCAAAATATCAATCTTTCTCTGCTTGCTTTGGTGGCACATATCCTAAAATTAGAATGACACAGGGAAGATTAGCACGGTCTCCATTCCAGGATGCAACTCCAAATTCATTAAACATGACGTATTTAAATGGGGAAAAATAAATCAAGAAATAATGGAGCCTTTACGATGTGTTCGGGTTTTTGCTTATCAATACATCATTCTTTCTCCATTGTCTTCCCCCGCACCCTATTTTTTCTTTTTATATAGTTATTTATTCTACGTTTTGAAATGTTTTAAATCAATACTTTCTGAATTTCACTCCATTCTTTATGCACGAAGTAAAATACTATTCTTCATTGTAAAAATCCAATCTGTACTGATCTAGGGTCTTTGCTTATACTGGCAGAATCCAAGAACAAATTGAAGTGTAAAAATAATCCCTTCAGAGGGGAAAAAAAAAATTCCCACTAGAGGTTACCATCTGATATCCTGGACACAAGGTTAATTAATGTAATTTAACACGCATCAAGGGAACTTGCAATCCAGGGAAATTAAACAACTGCAAGATCATCAACCTGAGTTTTTTTTCTGACTTCTCTTTTACAATAATAAAGGAAGAACAGATCCCATTACCTTCTGCTAGTAAAGATTCCTCTCTCTCTCTTTTTCGGAATCAGCACATATTCAAGTTTTCCTCCTGATATCAGGCAGTTTATTCCAGCATTTCAAAGGTGAGGTTAGGACCAAGCTATTTGCCTTTTTTTCAAATGTCTATTCCATTTTACAAATACACTGTAAACAACCTCTTTGTTCCTGCGTTATTCCATGGTAGCGTTGACTGAATTTGTTTGACCTGCAACAGTCTGTCTTCTACCGCTTTCTGCAGTTCAGCGTGACAGTATAATGGCCATCGCTATTTTCTCTAACAATAATACTGAAACGTTAATTTAAAATATGTTCGTTTTCCATTTAAAATGGGCATCCCAATTTGCGCAGGTCTTTCCTTATTTGTCTGACTGATAGGAATTCACCAAGGGCATGTATGCAAAACAAGTTCCTAAAGAGCAAATGAAGACTTCCCTTCAAAATTGCTGAGATTAAATACAATATTCCATGAGTTAGGATCGAAGATTACCGCAGATGGGGACTGCAGCCAAGAAATTAAAAGACACTTGCTCCTGGGGAGGAAAGCTATGGCAAATCTAGACAGCATAAAAAGCAGAGACATCATCCTGCCAACAAAAGTATATATAGTCAAGGCCATGGTTTTCCCAGTTGCAATGTATGGCTGTGAAAGCTGGATCATAAGAAAGGCTGAGTGCCAAAGAATTGAGGCCTTTGAACTCTGGTGCTGGAGAAGACTCCTGCGAGTCCCCTGGACTGCAAGATGATCAAACCAGTCAGTCCTAGAGGAGATCAACCGTGACTGCTCTTTAGAAGGCCAGATCCTGAAGTGGAAGCTCAAGTCCTTTGGCCACCTAATGAGAAGGAAGGACTCACTGGAGAAGAGCCTAATGCTGGGAAAGATTGAGGGCAATAGAAGAAGGGGACGACAGAGAATGAGGTGGCTGTATGGAGTCACTGAAGCAGTAGGCGTGAGCTTAAATGGACTCCAGAAGATGGTAGAAGACAGGAAGGCCTGGAGAAATGCTGTCCATGGGGTCGTGATGGGTCGGACACAACTTCGCAACTAACAACAACAACAATGAGTTAGGAAAGAGCTATATACTGGAAGGATTATAAGGAAAGAACTATATATTGGAAGGGCTAGGAGACAAAGGACTACAGTGAATTGGCTGGAATTCAAGCACTCCAAAGAACAGTTCCACGTCATGAAGTCACAGAAGGAGCAGCATCTGGACTAATCTTCCTACACAGAAAGCTGCATACACGTAACATTCCGGAAGTGGGAGGACTAGTTGAGCTTGATTATTGGAGACTTTTTATTGGTACCAACAGAAAAGAGTATTTGTCGCTCAGTGTTGAACGGTGGGGCCCTTAGTGCTCTCTGAGCTTGACTGTTTTCTTCCATATGTTTCATCAGAAAGCTAGATAACATCATCAGTGCAATAGTTACCTAGTTTGGTGATGAAATGTCTGTAAGGAAACAACCAAGCTCAGGAAGCACCAAGGAACTATTATTGGTGACATTATAGTGACTTCTTATTGGTGACACATGCATGCACAAATATTTTTTTTTCCCTATTTCAAACCGGGATCAGTGGAAAACAAGGAGCCAGATTGGTATTAAACACAATAGCAATAGCAGAATTCTTATACCCACTTCACAGTGCTTTACAGCCCTCTCTAAGTGGTTTACAGAGTCAGCATCTCACCCCCAACAATCTGGGTCCTCGTTTTACCAACCTCAGAAGGATGGAAGGCTGAGTAAACCTTGAGCTGGTGAGAATCGAACTTCCGAACTGCAGGCAGCTAGCAGTCAGCAGAAGTAGCCTGCAGTACTGCATTCTAACCACTGCACCAGCACGGCTCAATAATCATCATAGATAGCAATGAAAAACATGAATATAAATGACAAGAGGAAGTGTCAGGTCCCCACAGAAATGTATCACTATTTTATATAACTTATACATGCTTCTATAACCATTTTGGGGGGCCTGCCATTCTGTTGGGAGGGAGCATTCTGTTTTGGGGACATACAATATGCTTTGCTTGCTTTATGCCACACTGCCCATTCCCCAGGGGAAGGAATGCGGCCAAATACCATCACCCTTATCTGGAAGACGGTTTGCGCATGGAACCGGAGGGAAACGAAACCCAGAAAGACCTTGAAGAGCGTGCCAAAGGAGCGAGTTACCAAAACAATATATCACCTGTGGATTGGCCGAGATTCAAATGGACAGTGGGACCCTGGGGGGAGGAATAACGAATACTGCTTTTAATATACTGCTTGTGCGGGTTTTTCCCTCAGACCTTGCTTTGCTTCCTTGCTATCACTAACTCCTAATAAAAGTTCCTTTTGAGACAATGCAACCAATTTTGGTCTCCACACTATAAAAAAAGATGTTGAGACTCTATAAAAGGTGCAGAGAAGAGCAACAAAGATTATCAGGGGGCTGGAGGCTCAAACATAGGAAGAGCGGTTGCAAGAACTGGGCATGGCTAGTCTAGTGAAGAGAAGGACCAGGGGAGACATGATAGCAGTATTCCAATATTTGAGGGGCTGTCACAGAGAGGAGGGGATCAGCCTGTTTTCCAAAGCACCTGAAGGCCAGGCAAGGAACAACAGATGGAAGCTGATCAAGGAGAAATTCAACCTAGAGATAAGTAGAAATTTTCTGTCAGTGAGAACAAATCAACCCATGGAACAGATTGCCTTCAGATGTTGTGGGAGTTTCATCATTGGAAGAGACTGGACTGCCATCTGTCAGAAGTGGTGTAGGGTTTCCTGGTTGGGCGGGGGGCTGGACTAGATGACCTACAAGGTTCCTTCCAACTCTGTTGTTCTGATTCTGAAACATAATGATATCACAGCCTGGATAAGCTTATGCAAATGTCAAAGCCAAGTACAACTTCAATCTCGTCTTCAAGATCAACAAAATCCTTGATTGTTAAAAGTGACATAGATGTCATCGTTCATAAAGCTGACACACAGACCGGGCACGATATCTCTGACTGAATGTCAAAGCAGAAATCCTAAGGAAGAAAATGGCTCCAAAACTGGAACATGATTGCTATTCCCATAGACTAAATACTGAGTTTGACCAAGTTTGAAGCAACCTCTGATCATGAGTTGGAAAAAAGAAGCAGCCAAATTAAAAAAAAAGGGGGGGAGAACATGTCACTAAAGTGGCCAATCCATGACAAAGAGAATATCTTATGAACTATATCATTCCTGCACAAAGCTTTATTCTTAATTCCTTATTTTATTTTTTTTTACAACAGCCAAGGGCTGAATAAATCAAAAATTTCTCGTTCCCTGAATAACATTCGGACAACAAGGAATTCTGGAAGTTTTTCCTTTCCTATTTATCAGGAGAGTGACATAAATTACAGTACAAATGAGCACCGGTGTTTTTAGTTGCTGTCCTTTTGTTGTTGTTGTTGTTGTTTAAAAAGAATGAAATATTGTTGCTGCCATCTTTGCAGCAAATAAATAAATAAATCCCCCTCCCCCCCCCACACACACATTTACTACCTGCCTAATATTTGGATGTCATTATCCTTGAATTGATTCCTTGTTATGCACCTTCTGCAAAGATGTGTTATAAATAGCGACAACGGCAGGCTGAATTTCTAGCAGGGAGAAAGGAAACAGCAAAAACACGGCTGGCATCCTCAGAGACCCCGTTTTTTCAAAATGGGTGTGCCAGCATTGTAGACTGGAGAGAAACAATTCCAGGCCACAAGAATAAATGTCCAGCCTTCTCTTTCTTCACCCACAGGCAGAAAATATACATTTTAATCAACAAGAAAGCCAGATTTGTAAGATGTCCAATCAGCCACCATTGCTGCCCAACGTTTGGGGTTATTACACGCATTCGTATCTAACCTGTTACTAACCTCAGTATGCACCGCAACTCTCTTCATGTAAACTGTTTAAGAGAACTAATGTCTATGATTTATGGAAGAGAGATTAGGATTGCCAGTGAAAATGACTCACGATATCAAGTGAGTTTACATAAGTAGGCCTTTATTTATGGGAACAATGATCAAAAGAATGTACGGCAAAATCCTGCTTTGGTACATTTTTAAACTTGCAGGAATGTTTGCCAAAGAGAAATGAAATTAATGTGGGTTTATTTTTGGTTGTTTTTTTTTTGAACCTGGAAAAGGTTAATGCAGTAAGTTTCCTTTGAAACCTACCACAGATGGTCCTCAATGTACAATCACAGTTGAGGCCAAAATTTACGTTGCAAAGTGACTGCGGTTGTTAAATTAGTAACATGGCGGTTAAGTGAATCTGGCTTCTGAGGATAATAATAATAATAATAATAATAATAATAATAATAATAATAATAATAATAATAGTAGTAGTAGTAGTAGTAGTAGTAGTAGTAATAGTAATAGTAATAGTAATAGTAGTAGTAATAATATATTATTATTATTATTATTATTATTATTATTATTATTATTATTATTATTATTATTATTATTATTATTATTATTATTAGTTGGAAGGGACC